TTTCTGTGCAATGCTTATGAGTTCTATGGTTCTCATTTGACTGCAAAAGCAAAGCACGTTGGTAAGTGAAAGTACATTGATCAATATGGATGAGTTGCTTAATAACACGAATGCAACATTCCAAAAATTTCAACAAATTTTAAACTTTTCAAAACAACCCATTTATTTACAAAAGTGTTTACAAAATCATGATCTCCAAAACATGATTTAAAATCAGAGTCTCCCAAGATCCAAAACAACCCATTTATTTACAAAAGTGTTTAAAAAATCATGATCTCCAAAACATGATTTAAAATCAGAGTCTCCCAAGATCTCCAAAACTATATTTACAAAATCATGATCCCCCTTCTAACTAAGACTCGACTGTTCTGTTTGTCTTTTGTAATGATGTAAGTTTTCCTAAGTTTAAGACTATCTTTACTAGAAAATAGTTTGCATTACTTTTTATGTGAAAAGATCACTATATGAATGTAATGGGAAAATGAAAGTGTACAATAGTGTTGTATAAAGTAACTACTGACCACTAACTACCTTAAAACCAGTTTGTTAATTAAGGTTAATATGTGATGAGGTTATAACCATACTGATAGACAAGTGTTTAACACGACGACCTTCTGGCGTCGAAACTGATGTGACATTTGTCACCCCTTGGCCTGCCGGCCAAACTGTAGTGAACATTCGGGATGTGGGCTTGTTAGTCCCATATAGATCTATACACAAACTCATGCTCTCCCTCCAGGAGACTCTAGTTACAAAACGCGACCTAACAATTATATTGCTAAGCCGTGAAGTAGTGGTTTCACGTTATTGTTATATTGTTCTTGTTATCATATGTTCCTTCTGTTCTTGTTTTTGTATGTTCCTCCTTGTTCTTGTTATTGTATGTTCTGAACCCCTAAACTATACCTATTATAGTTTACTAGTATGTTTGTTTTGAACTGTCTCCAATTTGTAGAAAAGACTCGATTATCTACTGAGTTATGATTGTACTTTAAAAACAAAGTTTTATAACCAACAAAGTAACATAACTTTAAAAGAGTTTTTGAAATGATTTGATCACTTATAAAAGCATAATAAAATCCTTTAATGTGATGGTTATAACAGATAAACATTTACACAATTATCATTGTGTTTAACTTGTATTCCTAATGTGATGGTTATAACAGATAAACATTTACACAATTATCATTGTGTTTAACTTGTATTCCCCCCTTTAAAAGCATTTAAAACATTTTAAAGATTGATTATAGAGGTATGAACTCACCTTATGTGGGTGATTCAATTGAAGATTTGCGTAAGGATGAGAAGTTCCACGAATGAATTCCCGACAAATGAGTCCTGAATGACATATAATGGCATATATAGGCATGTAATTAGTGTTTAAAACAACTAACATGCAAGGAAACAACCTTACGGACTAGGAAGCACTTGTAAGGAAGTGTTACAATCACGTGTGATTGATAAAAGGGAGTTCACGGCCACACTAAGTTTTTACAGTCAGAACACATGATGTGTTCACGGCCAAGGGAAGTTTACAGCGACAAGAAGTGTTTACGGCCGTAAACACTTGAGGATGATGCATTTTGGATCTTGCTTCATGCTTATAGGGTGTTTGTCTCATGAGGATACAAGAGCTTCTAATGAATAACAAGATGATAAAAGAGATACTCACACTTTGGATGACTTTCGGTTGTTTACGACCCAAGAACAAGTGGGTGTTCTTGGTGAAAAGATGAAGATTTGAAGATCTCAAAGGAAAAGTGATGAATTCAAGGATGTGATTCATAGGATTCATATGATCAAGAAGATTAACTTGCAAAATGGAGGAATTACTTACGTTTTTGAAGAGAAATGATGGATTCCCTTGATGATACTTGAGAGAGTTTGAGTGTTCTTGGTTGAAAAATGTGAGAAATGAAGAATAAATGAAGGAAATCTTTACTTATCATGGGAGTTCACGGCCACCAAGAGTTTACGGCTGTAAACTCTAGTTTGCGGCCATAAACTCCTTGTGATGGAGTTTTCGGCTCTTTTGCAACCCAATGAACTTAAGCTGACACACACAATCTTTAAGTGTACTAGGCTTAGAACACTCAAACATACCCTTAACAATGCTAAAAGATAGTAGAAACAAGTCTGACATTTGATTGGATTGATTGGCTTTACCGGATAGAAATTTTCGGGTTGTCACAACATCTCTTCCAGAAATAGGTTGCATATTCGAAAAATATAGGAATGCTTTAGGCCTAGGCAAGGTCACACAACTTTTGGTAAAATAGTGCTTTAGGAATCATGCAACCGTCTCAAGGCTTGATGAAACATTTTGTCATGGTGCCTTAGCTTCATTTTATTATAGTGAAAAAAATTGTTTGGGAGTATTGCCCCGGTACGGTAGTACTCATGTTGATGCCCTTTGTGGATGCTTGTGTATGGATCCATTGAGACTCGTTTATATAAGGGTGTTCGTTTGGATGAATCGGTTTAATCCGATCCAATCAAGTGAACCCAAATTGATTTCGGTTTTCAAAACAGAGATCCAAATAGTCCAAACTAAATACAAATTCGATCCGATCCAATAAAATTACAATTCGGTTGGATCGGTTTCTAAAATTCGATTTTTTTTAAAAGCACATATAATTAGAAAATTACCCAATTTTAGAAAAGAAAAAAAAAATAACAAATAACTTAGTTGTGGTTTAAAGTTTATAAACAACTACTAAAAAATATATTAAAGAATAATATTATATAGATAAAAACTTTTGAAAGAGAATACATATTAATGTTTTTTATTAGGTTAAACTTTTTAAATCTATTTGAAAAAAATAATAAAATACTAAATAATTATATATATATATATATATATATATATATATATATATATATATATATATATATATTAAAAATAAATAAATAATAAATTTTTATTTGGTTTTTTTGGACTATTCGGTTTTTATTTTATAAACCAAAACCAATCCGGAATCCAAAGTAATAATTCGGTTTTGTTAAAAACCGATTCAAAAATTCGAATATCCGAACCAAGTAGTCCATACCAAATTATCTAATTGGACAATTCGGTTTAATCTAAATAATGAACAACCCTACGTTTATAGATTGTTTATATCATGTTTACAGTATAGGTTGTTTTAAAATGATGATGTTGTTATCCTATTGGTGCATCCACAAATCGTTGAAGGTCACTTCATATTGAGAATAATGTTCATTATTCACTAAGCTTTTTTATAGTTTACTATTGTTGTTATATCCTTTGATTGTAGGTGCGGGTATTGGTAGCAAGTATAAGGAGTTTACTTGATATCAAAATAGACATATAAAGACTTAGCAGATAGATACTTTAGTAGTTTTGGCGCATTGTAATGTAACACCCAGTTGGTTAAATTTTGGTTTGTAAACTATGTTGTTATTTGCTTCCATCTTTGTTAGCATATAATGTGCATCATGTGTAAGAATCAAAAGTATTTTAAACAAGAAAATTTTCGGGTGCACTTCATACTATTTTCGGGGTGTTGAAGATTTCTCTTCCATAAATAAAAAAATCACATTTGACATACTTGTTCCCATCACCGCCCTGAAAACATTAATGAGTGGGTGATCGGTTCCAATGTCCCCGAGTAGTGAATTTGCAAAAAGTAAGAACTTGAAGAGGCATGGCCAAGTTGACTCCAATTGTCATCTCTTATCTTCAATACACCATTGAAATCTGGTGGCAATGGCTCCTTTCCTAAAAGGAACTTCAAAACTTGCGACATGCTCGGTCTCAGCACGGACACAACATGTGAACAAAGCAACCCCACCTTCAAAACCAACTCCATTTCCTCAGTTTCATAGTCATCCCTTAGTTTCGGATCAACCACCTCAGAAAGTTGCTCCTTATACCAACAATCCCACACGTAATCGACCAAAATCACTGCCTCTTCACGCCCTTGCAATTCCACAGGTCGCCGACCACAAACAACCTCTAAACAAAATGTTCCAAAAGCAAAAGTATCGGTTGCGGTGGTGGCTTTTCCTTTGCGAGCCAATTCAGGTGCTATGTATCCCAAGGTCCCAGCCAAATGGGTCGTTTTTGCATCGGTTCCATTGTTGTTGCCAAATCTCGCGAGCCCAAAATCACCTAACTTACCATTCAATTCCGCGTCAAGTAACACGTTGCTTGCTTTTATGTCCCGATGGATTATAACTTCACACCATTCATGCAGATATGCTAATGCTTTGGCTACATCGATAATAATTTTGACCCTTTGTTTCCATGTTAAAGTAGATTTGGGATTCGAATTGAATATGAACTTATCCAAACTAGTATTCGGCATGTAATCATATACAAGAAACAATTCGCCTTTTCTTCGACAATACCCAAGAAGTCTGACCAAATTTGGGTGTCGTAACCGACCTATCGTGGCGATCTCCGCCACGAATTCCTTCATTCCTTGACTTGATGTATGCCATATCTTCTTTACTGCGACCTGAGCTCCTAAGTCCAGCAAGGTTCCTTTATAAACCTGACCAAAACCACCTTTTCCAAGCAGCTCACTTTCTTTAAACCCTTTTGTGGCGATGAAAAGATCTTTGTAGGAAAACCTGCAAGGTCCGTATTGAACCTCCCAACTTTCAAGAGCTTCTTCGAATTCAAATTTACGTTTTCTTCTTTGGAACAAAACAATCGCCAAAATTGAAATCGATAAAAGAACCAGTAATATTCCACCTAAAGATAACCCAATTTCTAAAGCCATTTTTGTCTTTTTGGTTGATTTTTTCATGAGAGGTAAAGGTGGGATCTTTGATCTATCGATTTCTTGAGCTTTTCCATTCATTTGAAAACTCCAACCAACGACGTAAAACGTCTGAAGAAGAACCCCAGTGGCTGAAGTAAACCCGACGTACATTTCTTCGAGTAAAAAAGGTGACAGATCTTTCTTCCAAGTTACAAGAGGTTTTTGAGGTTTTAATTTGAAGGGAAGAGGAGCTAGTGTGACATTCAAGGTCTTTTCAACACCATCGTAATCAACCCACGCTCGGATTTCTCTGGAGCTCGCAAGAGTTAGGGTTTGAAAGCCTCCATTAATCTTGTAATAGCCTGCTGTTGCAGCGAACACAGATTCTATACTGTTTATATCAAGACCCACATGGTTGCCATCCATATCGTCAAGTTCGAGGTTTCTAAACGTGTCGAATTCAACGGCGACAATGTGATTTGAGGCGTTTCCGTCGTTGGTACGGTTAAAGAGACCAAGATGCTGCGAAGAAGATGCATCCGTCACTGCTTTAGATGGCGCAATCGCAAAGGTCATTCCATGGAACGTGAACAGAGGGTTTTCTGGTATGATTCCAAAGACGAAAGAAGTGGAGAACGACAAAGCGTTGCTGGTGTGGGAGTTTTTGAACCGGAAAGGGCGAGAGTAGAAGGTGTGACCGACGCCGAACATCTCGGTGTCGTTGCTGTGAACCACTCGACCATCTGGCTGAATCTCTCGTACACCATCGAGCTGCGAATCTTTGAAAAGGAAGGAGAAGCCATTGTTGTCTGTGGAAACTGTGGATGCTGCTTCTGCTCCAGCGAGCAGAAGTAGCAGTAGAAGAAAAAGGGGTTGGATCAAGATCATAGATGAAGTATGGAAGTCGGTTCTGATAGTTGGAAAAGTTGAGATTATTAGTTATTTAATCCTTATGATTTGGATTAGGAGATGGCTTGGTGAAAGGGATCTCTTCGCTGTGTGGAACAAAGCGATCGTGTTTCACCAGTCAATGGTCTACTGTTTACGGCAGTGGAATTTGGGTGTTGGTCAAGGACGTATTGTTCATCTATATCACGTTGCCTAACAAGTATACATGTCGTGGCAATTCCTATGACTACTCTCATTCTGTCCACACGAATAATAATGATTAAATAATTGTGAAACTTGTCTATGATATAGAGTAACGATGGTTAAGTTTACTTTATGTATTTTAGAGTAAACTAAATGAATGGTCCTACCGTGAGATAAGTTGTGTGTTTGGACTTTTTTTTTTAACTCCAAACATATTTACAGTTTTGTTTTGTTTGGATTCTTAACATATATGAAAAGACTGTTTTTGGTTCCTAACATATATAAAAAAGACTAATTTATCCTTACTAACCTTTTTTGATTTTTTATTTAATAAAAGAAATTGTTAATTTAAAAAATACAATAATAAGCCATTTTTTCCAAAGGTTTTTCCACAAAATACCATAAATCAGAAAAATACCAAAATATCTATCTTTTCACGTGTCATCATCTGCGAAAATATTAATGGTTTGTTATATTTTTTTCAACGGCCAAAACAAACAACGTTTTCAAGCCTGCAAAAATCTATGTCATTTGCGAAAAATAGATGTCAACTGTGTCATTTGCAAAAAGATGATGTCAACTGTGAAAATCTATAAAACCAAATATTGTATTTTTTTTTAAAAAGTATGTATTGTCTTGTCATGTTGACTGCAAAAAGCAAAGAGCGTATTGCGAAAATCAAAATGAGTAGTGTGAAAATCTATATGATGTAGATTGTGTTATCTTATAAGAAATTGTTTTGAAAGAAACACTTTACACATCCAATTGTTTGATTTTTGTAGCCAACTTTTTATACATTTTTTTGTCTAATTTCACTAGCAAATTTTCCCAACTTACAATTTCTGCTTTTGTTAAGATAACATAACTTCAAACATTCCAGATGAGTATTTTTTTGTGTCAGCAGTTCATGGCAATCAGAAAATGAGAAATTGATATATGTTAGACCATTTGTTAAAACTTCAGTGTTGAAATGTTTGTAGATATAAATTTCCCATATTTATACAAATTGGTCAAACAAATGATAGGTTTGGATGATAGACCTAATATCAGCATGTCTTTCCAACACCCTACATTGAAGTATGTTATATAGATAGTCGATGAGGGTGAAATATGTTATATATATATATATATATATATATATATATATATATATATATATATATATATATATATATATATATGGTGGATAATGATCTAGTGGAGGAGACACATATTGTTCGATAGAATATCGCAAATCGATATGTTATATATATATATATATATATATATATATATATATATATATATATATATATATATATATATATATATGGTGGATAATGATCTAGTGGAGGAGACACATATTGTTCGATAGAATATCGCAAATCGATATGTTGTTTGTAGGCAGGGCCGGCCCAATAGGGCGGGCAAGCTGGGCGATGGCCCCAGGCCTCGTTACGGTTTGGGGCCCCAAAATTATATCTGTCTTTTACTTTATATATATGAATTGTGTTTAAAGTTTATGCAACATTTCCTTAGGCTAGATGGTTAGTATAGTACCAAGTAATTTTTGGAGGCTTTTTTTTATTTATTTTTTAATACCTTTAAAAACTAACGTTTTACCGTATTTTATTGAGTTTTCAATTCAAATTATAGAAATTGTCCCTGCATTCTTCTTTGTTATTCAAAAATCATCCAATTTATAGAAATTATTCCTAGACTCTTTGTTTTTTTACAAACCACCAAAATATTTATTTCATTTAAAATTTTGGTCTTTTTCTAGCCATTATCATGGATAATTTTTCTATTTATATATGGGATTTTCTACATTGCATCATCTTTTAATATATAATAACTATTATTTATAGTTTTGTTATCAAAAAAATCATGTTAACCTACCTGTTTTTCACCAAACTATGATTTTTTTTTCCAAACACTCATTTTTTTTTCAGACACCAAAGTGGCAGTTTTTCAAAATGATTCGATTATGTGTTTTTTTTCTTTGTCATTAGTTTTTTGTGCTAACCTAGTGGTTTATTGTATCATTGTATTATTTTCATAACATATATATTTAATTTAATAGCAAATGCTCATGTATTTGTCTCTGTTTCATTGTATTATTGTTTTTGATTATTAAATTTTGAGGGGCCTCATTTTTAGTTTTTGCCCCGGGCCTCAAATTGACTTGGGATGGCCCTGTTTGTAGGAACCAATGTAGAAGCGGAAAAGGGTTTGTTAGCATAAGAGGAAAAAACTTTATTAAGAACATATCCAATAGAAGAGGTATTGAAAATAAAGCATGTAAGCATACCTATCCAAATGATCCTAACAATGTTGATGAATAAGTTACAAATGGAACAACAATTCATTCCACAAGTTGTCTATGAAAACTAGTATACATATCGACAAATCTTGGACGCCAGTCTCGAATATTATGTACCATATCAAAAGATATCAAAAGTTGATAGTACCATATCAAACACCAGTAGTTCCACATCAATTGTCGATAGAATGACAAATTCATAATATCTAACCAATAAATCATAAGAACTTAAGTGATGGTAAGGTTACATGTAACCATGCTGAAAATGATGGTACCTATCACAATGAAGGTAGAAATAATGTTTTTATATACATTGATGATCCAATAGATAAAGTTGTTTTAAACATATCGATCACAGAAGAAGATGATGTTGATATTGAATGGTTGGTTGTGGTCAACAATTACATACAAAGGAAATTTTTTGGTATGCCAGATATATAATCAGGATATGCAGCTAGTCCATCACGCGGCTAAAACCTAAATGATCCAATAAAGGTGCTACAAATTTACAAAGACAAAGAAGTTGTTCAACTAACACTAGGAACAAAAAGTATAGAGGGTTCATTTTAGTACAAAACTCTAAGATCTACCGAAAAGATATTTCATACATGTGTTGATAAAAATTGACAATGGTATGTTTCAACTGTAAACTAGATGGTTGTAGCATATTCTAGATCCACAAACTTGTGGACCAACACAATTTTTCTTCAACATAATTAGACTTAAACCATCGCCAAGCAAGAAAAAAAGTGTTGGGACATTTTAAATGTGTTGGGTAATGATCATGGCGTGCTAAACAACACACATTTAATCTTTGAGTGGCACTCAAGCAGACTCATTTCCCAAACTGGCCATATATTGTTACAACATAGACTATTGTAATCCCGGTTCAATCACATACATTCAAATGGATGATGATGACCGCTTTGATTTTTGTTTCTCTTTATTGGTTGCATGGTAAAAGTTATCATTTGTATGTTAACTTATTTTGATTAAATTCAATGTTTATTTGTATCATTCATTTGTTAATTTATGTGACTATGTTGTATATACGGGCATTTCAAAGTATCGGTCAATGTACCCTCGTGTTAGACTGACTCGCCTTATTGGTGAATTCAAGGGAACCATGTTGTTGGCGGTAGCAATGGACGGAAACAACCAAATCTTGAATGTTGCATATGGAATAGCCAAGGGCGAGTACACGAAATCTTGGTCATGGTTCCTATAAAAACTACTTGACTTTATCGAGGGCTTGGAACTATTAACGTTCATTTCTGATAAGGTGCCCTCCATTGCGATTTCCATAATATATCCCCAGCCGCTTATCATGGTGTATGTGTTCATCATCTTTTCTCCAACATAGTAGCCAAGTACAATAAAAATGTGACGACAAAAACACTATTTTGGAAGGTTGCAAAAGCTTAAAGAGTCGAATATTTTGAATACTGTATGGAGGCACTACATGTGAACAAACTACTGACCGGAATTACTTAAATGAATTTAGGCCAAAAAATGGTCACATGCATATTTCACGGTTTATCGTTAGAATCGTATGACATCAAATAATGCATAATTTATCGACGCATTATCGAAAGATGCTCATAAGATAGAGGTAGTGATGTTCCTTGAGTTCTTTCAAAGGATCATGCAACATTGGTGTTATAAGCATCAGAATAAAACAAGTATATTAAGAATAACGAACAATATATGGTTAATTCTTCCATTTAACATAAAGTGAAACTAATAGTAATATTTTGTTACTTTATGTAGCGGAGGTAACAACCAAACTAATGACATGGGTGGATAAAAAGGTTGGGAAGTGAGCAAGAAATACTAGAAGTTAGAAGGTATGTCTGATTTCAAATGAAAATTTTGAGGTCATGCATGGTAAAATAAAAGCATTGTTGATCTAGTGGAAAGAAAATGCACTTGACTAGATGCATGACCTCTCATGTGGTCATCTCATTATTATGTTAAAAGTATTTAAAACATGATGGATTTTTTAATGGCTATCAGCCTACCATATTGATTATTATCGGCAAATATACGAGGAGGAAGTGAAACCCTCTACCCTCCCCTTACAATTGATAGAACCCAGAAGGTTTGATGACTGTTAGACCACCAATAATGGACAAAAGGAGAGGCCAGTAATCAAATATTGTTCTCGGTGTAACAAAATAGGCCATACTAGCAGAGACTACACCAAATTTTTCGCATCCAAATAAAAATAAAACAATGCAAAATCAAGTACAAAAGGTGCATCAAGTTTGAATAAGCCTTCAAGTAGAAAGTAGCATGTCACAAAGCCAAATTGTTTTTCCACAACATGTGATTTGAATACATTCTCAGAGGAACATGCATTATGTTATTATTTATTGGCAAGACTTATAAATGTGACTTTCCGAGTAGTGTCCTTTTACCGGTCTGGAATTTTCATGGTTTAGGGTCTAGTGTCCTTTTACCGGCCCGAAATTTTTTCCGAGTCCGGGTAAAA